CCTATCCCAAAAAATCAGGACATGCTCTTGAACCCAGTGGATTCAAGTGCGCTACTAGTCTAGACCTGAACAGGGAACTACCACATCGAGCTGTCACATCACTCGAAGCAACTCTGTACCATTGTACTCCCGGGGAAAGCACGATACCAGAGGTTGCCAATGGGCCTATGTAATAGTCCCGACATCTTCCAAAGGAAGATGAAAACACGCATGACTTAGAAAATGTCCGTGCATACATTGATGATCAACTCATCCTAACGGACGTCGATCTCGCAGATCGCGTTGAATATAGTAGGATGACCTTTTCCAAAGACTTCAAGAAGTCGGGATTGAAATCAACACTAAAAAAAGACTGAGCTCTCTCCGTTCCAGGCAGCCTGGAAAGGCGCTTGGAAAGGGCTTAGTCTTCACACGCCACGTACAGCGTGGAGAATCCCGTTGACTTCGCAATTTGGCGAAGGCATTCAACGTATTTCACGGTGGCTGCACAGCTAGATTCGTACTGCTCTTTGCAGAGCTAGAAGTCATTTCCTTGAGGAGTTTATGTTTGTCGGTAGGCTAGCAATGGCAGCCCAACGAAGACCTTCCCATGCGTCCAGCCCACTGATGGTCTGACGTGGAGTTAGAGATCCTTGATGATTTGGACTTTGAAGGTGTACTTGGCGCTGTTAGCATCTGCTTGAACAGGCGAAGTTTGTATGTGTAGAGCGAGAATCGTCGATTTCATCGTTCGAGGTCGATGAGAGGAAGGATTTTTTTGTCGCGCAGCTTAGACCCGAAGCTGGTGTATGCGTTTTTGGCAATCTTCATGGTAAGGAATATGTTGAGGGTGCTGAAAGCTATTGTGTTTGTTAACAAAATGCACTACGCTAAAAGCTAGTGTAAAGATCTTTCGAGTGTTTTGAGTTTGAGAGAATGAAAGGTTAAAGAGAGATTAGAAAGCTATGAAAACTAATCAACGAAAAGATCATCATCAAGGGATCGTAGATCTGGCTTCCCGCGGGAGATATAAAGTGTGATAGAGTAGGTTGGGTAGTAATCCACGTCTCTCCACGATCCAAAAACGGAACGCGTGGAGATTCGTCTAGCATTTATCTAGTAGCGTGGAAGTACTCCACGCTGGCTAAATATCTAGAGCGATGTTTTCATCATCAACCAGTATGCAATGAAGCGGTCATTGAGAACCTGTCTCAATGAACTTCACGAGAGACTCAGTCATGAGTCGAACTCAAACCCTATCTAGGATCGAGTCGCGAATAAGGCTAAGAGCCGTGTATTGCAAAATGATATAGGTCGAGACATTCTCTTGATTTAGGATTCAAGTTCGATTTAACAATGTCAGTGGAGTGGGACGGCGCATCTATTCCTATGAAAGACAGCGACACCAAAGAAGAGAGAACTTCTTCATTCCTGATCCTACTGCTGTTTAGACAGTGCATATCGTCTCAAGAAGATTCTTGATGCGAATAAAACAAGCTGACTTAAGGCAGGTTTGCCAAAGTCAAGATAGTTAAACACGGAAGAGAAGGAACAGCTTCATCTTACTGACGAAGTACACTGACCTAATCGATGGTACTTTGGAAGGTGCAAATGGACGACTACGAAGTAGAACTTCTCCTGATGCTAAACCCTATCATCCAGGGCTTATCCTATTCCACTGGTGTCATACCAACACTCTTAAGATGGAGGTTGAACGTTCTGGAAGCAGGAGTACTCAGAAGGTGAACCTTCCGAGTGGGCGGCACAACTTTTATCATTCCCAAGAAAGATGGATCTGTACGATCATCTCTGATTCCGGGAACTGAACAAAAGGATAAGCGAAACCTTATCCTATCCCAAAATACAGAAATCGCTCTTGAATCTAGACGGATTCAAGTCGCTAACGTCTGAGACCTGAACATGGGATACTATCACATCGAACTTCACCTACTCGAAGCACTCTGTACCATCTACTCCCGTGGGGAAAGTACGATGTACCAGAGGTTGCCAATGGGCCTATGTAAAGTCCCGACATCTTCCAAGAGAAATGGGAAACTAATGCACGACCTAGAATACGTCCGTGATACATTGATGATCTACTCATCCTAACTAACGGCGATCTAGCAGATCACGTTGTAAAAGTTGGATGAAGTTCTCCGAAGGCTTGAGAAGCCGGACTAAGATCAATGCTACCAAGTCCTTCTTCGCAAGAGAGAACTTGAATACTAGGTTACTGGATTACTCGAGAAGGGATCCAACCTATAACCAAGAAAATAGACGCGATCCAGAATATGCTCCTCCTACCAACAGAAAAGAACTCCGTAGATTCATTGGACTAGATGAACTAACTATCAGAGAATGGATTAGACGATCACATGTATTGCCCCACTCGCTTCGTTGACTTCCAAAACAACGAAGTGGAAATGGAGGAGCGGAACACGACAAGGCCTTTAGCCAGATAAAGAAGATCATCAGCAAAGAAACTTGCTCGCCTACCCTGACTTCAACGATACATTCGTTATCCACACGGATGCGAGTGATACTCATCTAGGTGCAGTAATTTCCAGAAGGGAACCATCGCGTTCTACAGCAGGAACTCAACCCTGCTCAGACACTTACACATTACCGAGAAGGAACTTCTCAGTATCGTAGAAAACTCTAAAAGAGTTCCGTACCATTCTTCTGGACAGAAGATCGTTGTACATACGGACACAAGAATCTACCTGTAAGACTTCAATACCGATCGCGTAATGCGATGGCGCCTTATTCTGGAAGAATACGGCCCTGAACTACAGTACATCAAGGGCGAACAGAACATCGTCGCTGATGCGTTGTCGAGACTTACATCTCTCAACAACGACGGTTCTTCAGACAAATGAACGCCAGCGAGATGTGAGCTCATGGCTGCAGACGAAGAGGACTTCCCTAGCGAGTTCCCTCTCTCGTTCCCCGAGATCGAACATCGTCAGAAAGACGACAACGAATCAAGAAACTCCTCAGGACATTGCCAAACGACTACAAGAAGCAATCTTTCCAGAGGGGATAAGTCTTACGACTTAGTAGTTAAGACGAAAAAGTCGTACCTAAACTATGCAGAGAAGCTAGTTGAATGGTACCATGGTTTCTGATGAATCCTGGCGAAACCGCACAGAACTAACCATCAGCCAACACTACACCTGGAAATGACTGCGCAAGACTGTGCAGGCCGTATGTCAGCTTGCCAAAGCTGCCAGATAACAAACCACAAACGCGTAAGATGGGATTGATGCCTCCAAAGACTGCGAGGAAGACCCTTGGGAAAGATATGTATTGACCTGATAGGTCCTTACAACGTCGGGATCTAAGAAAAGAATTCCTGCAACTTCATTGCTTGACAATGATTGATACCGTAACTGGATGGTTCGAGATTGCAGAGATCTGCTCCAAGGCAGCAGACGAAGTAGCCATCGTCCTAGAACAAACGTGGCTTACTCGGATCCATGGCCTGCTGAGGTTATATGGATAGAGGACGTGAGTCGCGCAGAGGTCGAAAAGACACTCCGGGATGAAATGGAACTTCGTCGCAAGTTCATCACTACGCGTAACCCTCAAGCCAACTCTATGGTCGAGCGTGCTCATCAAACCATACGTAACTTGATCGCTGTTCAAACATCAAGTGCCAAGACGACTCGTGAATGGATCCTGGGATGGAGTCCTCACGGCGGTTCGCTTTGCAATGAATGCCACGATTCATACCACCTTGCGCGCAACGCCCGCACAGCTCGTGTTCAATCGTGACGCGATTCACAACGTCCGGTTCGAAGCCAACTGGAAGTACATTAAGGAACGTCGCCAACGACTAATCCAACAGAACAACGATAGGGAAAACGCAACGCGTGTCCCTCATCAATACAATGTCAACGATACCGTGATGATTCAACAGTATCAGCACCGCAAGTACGGTCAGCCAAAGTACAAAGGTCCTTACACTATAGACCGAGTCAATGACAATGGCACTGTACGGCTCCGACATGCTACCGCCAACGGCGGCACAGTCTACCAGACTTGGAACATAAGGTATATACACCCATACAAGGCCTGATCCCCTTGTAGGATTGCCATCGTGCGATGCACATGTCTACATCCAAATCTCATGAGAGTGCCCCGCACTTTAAATCATATGTTCTCCTTGTCCGACTGCTGTCGCGCCTTCTGTGACCCTTGTCAGGGGGCGAATGCAATACACGGCTCTTAGCCTTATTCGCGACTCGATCCTAGATAGGGTTTGAGTTCGACTCATGACTGAGTCTCTCGTGAATAGTCATTTGAGACAGGGTTCTCAATGACCGCTCTGGTCATACTAGGTTGATGATGAAACATCGCTCTAGATATTTAGCCAGCGTGGAGTACTTCCACGCTACTAGATCCATGCTAGACAAACCTTCCACGCGTTCCGTTTTAGGATCGTGAAGATACCTAGGATTACGACCACAACCTACTCTATCACACTTTATAGTCTCCCGCGGGAGGCCAGATCTACGATCCCTTGACGATGATCTCTCTCGTTGATTAGTTTTCATAGCTTTCTAATCTCTCTCATAACTTTCATTCTCTCAAACTCAAAACACTCGAAAGATCTTTACACTAGCTTTTAGCGTAGTGCATAAACTATCGCTCTATGAATACTGTCAATCGAGAAGTATTCCGTATCAGAATTGTGGGAAGCTAATTGTGGCAACCCAAAAGGAGCAACTGGAATCCAAGATACCCGAGCTACAGCAAAAGGCGGCCCGGAATGGCGTCCTGGATACTCAGATATTGATGACCAGGAAGATGTCCGAGTCTTGGAGCCAAATGTTCAAGCTGTGGGTGCTCTCTGGTCTCCCAGTACGGGGGTAATCAATTCACACTCGTTCAAGCTGAGTCTCCTGGCCGATGCCGAGGATCATGGAGCTACATTGGCGTTGCATTATTCCAAACTCAACACAGACGGCATCAGCACACAAACTACATTCGACGCTACCGATGGAATCCTGTTGCCCATGGGTGACGACGATACATGTTTGCTTTGTAGGACCGTCGTGGATTCGGCAGGATTATGGGCCCACCAGGTGGCTCAATCCATCCACCGCTACAACAATCATCTGCTTCCACCATCCAAAGACGACTGCTGGTCCATTCCAAGACAATACTTTGCCAAGGGCAATTATTTTTGGTTGGAAGGCTGTAGTAAGAATCCCTTTACACACTTGGTCTATCCTCTTCCAGAACCAGGGGGGTTGGGAGTGCATGCCACCATGGATTGGAGTGGTCAATCTGTCAAGTTTGGACCCGATATCGAATGGATCGATGCCGCGACCACAACAGAACCAGACGGCATTGACTTGATTCCACATTCACAACGTGCCCAAGGGTTCTACGAACAAGTCCGCAAATACTGGCCGGATCTCCCGGACAATTCGATTATGCCAGAATTCGACCGAAACTACATCATCCCTCACTCGATACCAGTACCGAAGATGGAGCGGCGGCACCCTTCCATGACTTTTACATTGCAGGACCAGAACAACATGGAGTGCCAGGACTGATTCATCTATTTGGAATGGAAAGCCCGGGTCTGACCAGTAGCATGGCCCTTGGAGACTACTAGCTAGTACATTTCACACCAGGTCCATCTATTTGGAATGGAAAGCCCGGGTCTGACCAGTAGCATGGCCCTTGGAGACTAGAGTGATCTGGCCTTTAAGACCGACCGTTTCGCGCAATATTATTTTCAGGGCTGTATATCGAATATAGTACATGTAAAGAGGGGAATCGATAGAACACATGTAGTTGAGTATGCCACAAAATTCGCAACCTCACAGTGTACTTATTGGTGGAGTTATGAGCAGTTGAAATTATCCTCACTTTGGGGATGAGCAAACTTGCCCATGGCTCTGTGTTGAATTTGTTAGAGCGTTTTTGCAAAAAATTGTGTGCGCCAAGCCAATCTTTCACTTTGGCTGTTTTTCTCTATTGGATTTGATTGGATTGCATTGGATTAGATTGGATTGCATTGAATTACAGTTTACTATATCAATAATTGTACTATTTGGAATCTAATTCAATCCAATTCAATACAATCCAATCCAATTAAATTTATCTTCCTGCAAAAATACAAATTTCGTCTTTTTAACTGATTTTGGCGAGTCACACTCCATTACAATACAGGGCTATTGCAAGATTTGCCCATCCCCTTTTGACACGAATTCTTTTCATCTGCATATTAAGACTCCACGGTACTGATCTACGTAGGATCCTTCGTGGAGGATCCTGTAAGATCCTACGTGGCCCCTTAGGAAGCACCTCCAAGGCTCTGGTACTGAGTCTACGTAGGATCCTACGTACGTACCTCTATTTATTAGGATAGTCTTAATCTGGGGTGGGTCTTAATGCGCAGATCACTCTACTAGTACATTTCACACCAGGTCCAGTCATGGAAATAACACACAGCAACAGTGACAACAAGTAATAGAAACACATAATTAGAATCCTTCGGATAATCCTCACATAAAAGGCGACCATTTTCTCCTCGTCGATTTTCCTTCTCTTCACCGAACCCATCCTACCGTAGCTAGATTCTATTCTCGTCCGTCCACAACAATCCCAGCACACCACCCCTCGAGCCAAAAGGATTTATCTCTCAGTCTCGAAGAGAGGCAGGATAAGTTCCAAAGTCAAGTCTCAGCAGAGGCTCTATTAATAACGACAAGCACTCCTACGTACCAACTCAAGTAAGTGATAAATCATCCAAACAGTCATAGACTGTCTCCGTTCATTCGGTCCAACCAAGCTGTCATCGCATCGACTCAGACGCTCAAGCAAATGAATCACGTCTTGTGCACCACAAAGGCTTTTCCAGTGGCTTTCTGTGTAGCCTTGAGCGCTCCAAATGTACCCGGACCACCATCCGATTGCTGAGATGCCAATCTTGCTTCGGCATTCTCGCGAGCCATTTGCTTCTGACGCTTCTCCACTTTGCGCTTGGAACTGCCATGGCCGTGAAATTGATAACACAACTCACGAAAGGCTGCCTTCCGAGTCAACAACCGTCCATGCTTGTCGCGATATTCGAGCTTGACTTCTCTATTGGCTAGATCCTTGTCCTTGTCGGTAGCGTAGCGTTCGTCAATCTTTACCACTGACTTGAGGTCAACTGCTTCGTAATCTTCGTACGTCCTTTCATCCTTGGCGCGACCTCTCATTTCTTCCTTGCCGGCATTCTTGCGGGTGAGATCTCCCGTTTGCTTGAACAGATGGACGACACCTGCCAATCCTCGACCAACAGCGACAGTATTCCCAGTGGTGCCCTCCAAAAAGTTGTTGCCCGTGTTGTATTCGTCATCGTCTTTTACTTCCTTGGCCAACTCGGCCATGTCCACGTCCTCCTCAAACTCGTCGTCGTTGTTTGTTGCTGCTACTCCATCTGGCTTGGTAGTGACTGTTTCCACCACAACCGCAGTAGGTTCCTTCTTGACTGCCGTAGTTGTTGTAGTGATTGTGTTGGCGGCAGGTTTTTCCTTTTCCTTGGCAGCAGCTTTACGACTCTGTTGTTCCGATTTGGCTCGTAGGGCCCTGGTGAATTCGCGCGTATCGTCGACTGAAAAGGTGACACCATCGGAGGACGGAGTTTGGTCGGGCATCATTTGTTGGACCGCTTGTACGACCGCCTGAGCGCCCTTTTTAGCCCCGCTCATGTCTCGTAATTTCTTCAACCGACGTGCCTTGGCCAAGGCAGCGTTCAAAAAGGCATCGTCCGGTTCTTCGTCCAAGGCGTCGTCTTCCTCCTTTTGTTTCTTTTTGGCAAATGCCTGTTGCGTACGAGCATTGCCCTTGTCCATAATGGCGTCGTATTTGGCGCGTTTGTCCGTCTTGTCCACATCGCTGTCTTTGGATTCCTTTTTGACGGCCGTCGTGGGGTGAACTGACGAAGGTGGAGCTTCTTCCATTTCTACATCATCTTCCTTGTCATCATCATCGTCACGTCGGCTTCGTTTGCGGCTCTTCTTCTTCTTCTTCTTGTCGTCATCTTCTGCCGTTTCTTCCAACTCTTCCAACAAGGATTTGCCACTTGGCTCCTTGTTTTCCACCTCGCTGTTGTCGTCATCATCGTCTTCAGTCTGTCGTCGGCGATGCTTTTTCTTATCCTTTTTCTTATCCTTCTTTTTCTTCTTCTTGTCAAATTTCTCCTTTTTCTTGGCTTTCTTTTCCTTTTTGCCTCTCAACTCCAAGTCTTCCTGTTCCGTCAAGAAATCCGAGGCTTGTACATCGGCTTGCATCGGCTCCAAGGAAATGGCCTTGCCAGCTTCCATGGCGGCAAACATATCCGTGCCAGCTTTGGCATCGTTGGCATTGGCGTCGTCACCAATTTGGAATCCCTTGCCTGTTTTTTTAGTACTACTAGTACTGCTACCAGTAGCAGGATCGCCGCCTCCTCGCGTCCGTTTGGAAGGAGCTCCGGTTCCTCCCAATTCGACAAATTCATCATCGTCAAACCCGGCGTATCCACCGGCTCGTCCCATGCCCATTTCGAGTTGTCGCTTTTTGCGCAATCCATCTTGTTGTTTGGAAGCTTCTGCCAAATTGACATTTTCCAATTGAGTAGCGTCTTCATTCAAGCCCGTCACAATCTGCGGATTGCTCTCCTTGGTGGTCAAAATGGGAGCATCGGCCAATGTCATGACCGTGGTCGAACCGGCTTCCAAGTCGCCCATGGCGTGAGAGACAGTCATGCCCTTCAAGTCGTCCGCGTCGTACTTGTCATCGTTCTTTTTCTTGCTCTTTTTGTCCTTCTTTTTCTTCTTTTTTTCTTCTTTGGATTGCTGTTGTCGCATTAATTTGGCAGCCCACGATGCGACATCGGTGGATTCGGTTTCTCCCAGAGACTTGGCCGTAAACGTACTGGCAATGCCCTTTTTGACATCATTTTCCAATCGTTCTTGCGCTGCTGCCTTTTGCTTTTCTTCTTCTTCTTGCTTGGCCTTCAAATTGGCGTCTTGAATATTCTCCTTGATGGAACGCAACGGAGGCAACCCCAATTTGGCGCGGAGTGCATTCGTATCGTCCACGGACAATTCCAACACTTCTTCTCCTTCTCCTTGATTGTTGTCCGCGGCTAATAATGATTCCTTCTTGGTACTATGGCCATCGATGCGAAGAGGTGCCAAGCCCAATTCCGCACGCAACTTGTTCGTCTCGTCCACCGACAGCTCAATCACTTCCTGGTTGGCCATCTTGCTTGCTAGCTAGCTAGTAGACTGCTAGCCTACCGTAGCTTGGCTTGGCTTGGCTTGGCTTTGATTGAATTCTCCTTGTCCTTTCCCGACCTGTAAATGGAGATTTGTGTTGTGCTGTGAGGGCCGCCATCTGCTTGCCTGTTTGATCACCGCAGGTTTCGTGTCGCTGGAGGCTGAATAGAATAAGGCTAGCGCTAACTGTTTAACACGTCGTGGAAACAAATCAAAGTCCACGGCTGTGGCGTGCTGGAACACGAAAATGACCTGTGGTAGCGATTTATGACTATCCAGTTACCAGATTACTAAAATCAACCACAACAACCAAGTAGTAACACACTCAACACTATAGCAACCTCTTTATCAACACCACCATCAGCCTTTTTCGGCTTATCAGGCGTGGAAGCTACTACCAACGATCGGTCGTTAACCAGAAGAAGAAGAGCCATCGTTCGACAAGCACAAGAAGAAGAGCTACCATTGTCGACGATTGGAAGATACCGCTCGAAGCAGCGCTTTCGTTCGTTCGTTCGAAGCTACCGTTCGAAGCTATCGTTCGAACGCCAGCGCCATTGTCGTTACGTTGTCGCGAGTGCTGAAGAACACCGATCGTTGCGAGCGACAAGAAGAAGAAGAAGAAGGAGTCGTTCGTTCATTCGAAGCAGCGCCATTGTCGCCGATTCGAAGCTACCGATTCGGAGCTACCGTTCGAACGACGACGAGAAGAAGACGACGCGACGCTACTGTCGTTCGCTTGTCGAGAAGAAAGAAGAGAGAAGAAGAAAAGATCCTCATTGCCAGTGTAATCGGCAGAGGAACAAGAGAAGAAGAGAAGACCTCCAAGCGGCATAGCAACAGAAGACCTCTCAAGAAGAAGGGGCTCTCTCAAGTGGAGCGAGAGATAGAGACTTCCAAGTGGGAAGCAGAGGTTTGGACTTGGAATATTGATCCCTCCAGTCTGGATCAATTCCTGCCTCATTGTCACCAAAGAAATCGATCAATTCCTGCCTCATTGTCACCAAAGAAATCGATTGAGCCAAAGGAGAGGGGACGCCTGATCCAAGAGTTTTGGCCTAGACTGCCACAGACTGGGTGTGCAGAGCTCATTCCGTGGAATACAGCCTTACTTGTCTGGTGTGTACAGTTTGCTGTTGGAATAGGAGCAGAGAAGAAGACCCAACAACTGTTGCTCATCCAAGTGATACCGCAAGAGAAGAATAATTGGAGGCGAATATGGCAGGCAATCTTGCAGCCATGACAACTATCTACAGAATACCATCGGTATTGCCGAATTAGCCACGAGGACAGCATTGAATGATCAAGGATTGGATGCCTTCGTCTCACTCGATACCTTTACCGATGCTGATATCAAGAGCATCTGCGAGAACGTGAGGAACCAGGTGGTACCATTCCCAATCCAGCCATTGCGGCTGCAGCACTGCCGAAGCTGCTGCAGCAGTTCAGCCCAGAGAAGTTCCCAACCGTGGACGACAGCTGGGATTTGTCTTTGAGAAGCGACTCAGACAACTACGGTTCTACAAGTTTCACATGACACGAATCCAGCGTGAGTTCACTCCCAACCAAGCCAGTTTGGCGAGATTGAATAGAGTTTGGGCTTTATACGAGTCCGAACGAGAAGAGATTGATGTTGCGGATCCTCCCAACTCTTGAAGGTCGAAGATGTCCGACGAGTCTGGAGTCTATTGACAATGTTCTGAATGTCAAGCGAGGCGTTTGCGGTGCCCCTCTGGCTTATGTTACGAGATCCAAAGTCACTTTGCCAGGAGCACTTGATACCGACACCGCAGATGAGGCTGACCCAGGTTTTGGCCTTCCATCGCATCCTGAAGAATTGGTCCGAAGAACAAGACATGCCGGACCTCATTTCGTACAAGACAATCAGGCTGTTTGGGCCATCATTCGGTCGGTTACTCACGGTGGACCTGGTTGGACATGGGTCCAACGTTGTGCAGCGCAACAGAACGGTCGAGCACTTACTTGGCCATGAAGGTTCACTATCTTGGTGATTCGTTCAGGCTCGTACCAAGGCATTCGCGGATAGAGCCATTGAAACTACTTTCTTTGATGGGAAGTCCCGCAACTTCACTTTTGAGCGCTACTGTGAAAGGCTTACCAAGGCCTTCACCGATCTGGAAACCGCTGGTGAAACCTTTACTGAGAGCCGCAAGATTCGCAAGCTTCTGTCCGGCATTACAGACCCAAACCTCAAGACCGCCAAGTCCGTCATTCAAGCAACTCCGCATCTACGCGAGAGTTTCCAGGAGGCTATGAATTACTTAGCCGAGCAACTTGATGTCGCTGAACCCACTCGACCCACAAGAAATATTTCATCTGTGTCTGGCCGTGGTCGAGGCGGTGGTGGAAGAGGACGAGGACGTGGCGGTGGTAGATCCCAAGGCCGAGGCTATGGAAGAGGCCGAGGCAGGGGACGAGGCCGTGGTAGAGGCCATGAAGGCCGGGGTTTTGACCCCAATAACCCAGGAAGATATTACCATCCCGATGAGTGGGCTCAGCTCACATCGGCGCAGCAGCAACAGGCTAGGGACGCCCGCGAGGTGACAAGCGGAAGATTGCCGAGCTGCAGACCAGTTGTCAGATACCCAGTCCCAAGTCTCGAATTGCAAGCCGAGAAGCGATCCGGACTGATGTTCCTGGTGATCTAGCGTGGGCAATGCCATGAATCGGCGAGCATGAGTCTCTGCTGTTCGCACTCTGCGATCCGTTGCTACTCATTTGCCATCATCTCGGATTGAGCTTGACAGCCATGCCGATACATGTTCCTTTGGGGAAAGTGCTTACGTGGTACATGACACGGGAGAACTATATCCGTCGAAGGGTTTTCAACTGATCTTGGAACCATACACGAAGTACCAATTGTAACTGTGGCCGTGGCTTATGACGACCCACTCCACATCTCAAATTTATATTTTATTCTTTCATCAATCTTTGCTTATCAAGTCATTACAGAACAATCTCATTTGTCCAGCTCAGCTGCGACATCACCAGTTAGTTGTCAACGATGTGCCACTGTTGCACCTACCGTTTGAAGACAGACCAATGAATCCCACTCCTCATTTGTGGTGACCTACGAATCCCCCTCCAACTGGACGGTTTATCTCATACTTCCAGGTTCGGAACCCACGCCCATGAAGTCAATTCCAGATCACTTCGTTCAGTTCACATGACATCCGAATCTCCTTGGAACCTCAAGATCCCCATCGGCTACCTCGAGTCCTCTCTCAGAGCCGCTTTGAATTCGGACATGCCAAGTGAAAGGGGACGGAATAGGAAATTCAGTCGATCAGGTCAATTCTGGAATCAAGATCATCCGTGAATTGACGTCAACAGTCTTGGGCCAGCCCTTCAGGCCCAGATCTCTGCTACAGACGAAACCCCCTACCAGGAAGGGAGCCGTGTCAGCGGAAGCACTTGCCAAGCGGTGGAATATTGGGTTGGAAGCAGCCAAGAAAACCATCGGAACACAACTCAGCGAGCGTTTCGTGATTTCACCCACGCGAGTGGAGGCGGAGGATGAAGCATTGGCGTACAACTCAGATATCCTCGGCTCAACGTTGAAATGTATACCGACACTGTTTACGGCAAGGTCACTTCCCTCCTGGGAAACAGGTGTGCCCAGGTCTACTGCCCACCGTTTACATTGGTGCCATGTTGACCGATGAAGACCAAGTCGGAGGCTAACTTGACCTTAGATTCACTTTTCCAGAAGATTGGAATACAAAGAGTTTGATCCCAGACAACGCGAAGAGTTACCATGGGAGAGTTTCGACGAAAGGCACAACGAGTCCAGTGCCTATCCATCCAGTTAGGCTTACACACCCAACCAGAACTTGCGGAAGACCTAATCCGAGAGCTAAAGAGAACTTACAGAAGAACAATGAGACTACTGAAGTTGGAATGCCTTTGGGACATGTGTTTTCGTCTTCTGCGGGCTGATCGCAGTCATACCGCATTACGATCCGAGAGTTTGATGGCAAGTCCCGCTACTCTTTTGACAGGGGACACTGCTGCATCTCACATATTTGTGAGTTTGGATGGATGATTGGGTTTTGTACCTTTATCCTGAGAGACAGGGCGAGTCAATGGAAAGAAGCGCATTGGTCGCTACTGTGGCCCCAGCACTGACTATTGGTGGACGCTATGTGTGCCCGAGATCCTCACCGAGAAGGGCAGTTTGTCTCATAGGACATCTGTTCATCCCCTTATCAGACCAGGGAGAAGCTGAGCCCGGAGATGTGAACCAAGAGGCACATTCACAGAATCCTTGAAGAAGTCCTTGGCAGCGTTATGTTTTGGGCCAGCAGTGATGATGCTTAATCTCGTCAGGATGAAGAATACCAGAGTATTATGAGACCAATTGATGATAGAGACCCAGATCCTCTGCTAGAGTTGTCGAAGCAGATGAGATGCAACAGAGGCCTTCGATAAGTACATTGCATCTCGTGTTTGTGTCCCACAGGGAGACAGAATGTCTTATGGCACAGTCGCCAAGCGCAAGAGGAACTACAGATGGAAAACTGATTGGCTTTCGAATTCTAACCCATTGCTTGATACTTCCATTTATGAGGCTGGAGTTTGACAGTGGGAGACCGAGGCCTACTCGGCCAACATAATTGCAGAGTCTATCAATGCTCAGGTGGATGATGACGGCTACACTTTGTTTGAATTTGCGGATATCTTGGACCATGTGAAGGATGGACACGCTGTTTCAGGGGACGACGCCTACATCTATCGAAATGGCAGGAAGACTTTGCGACGGACCACCAAAGGGTGGAACTTTTGTGTCAGTGGAAGGATGGGACCCACTCATGGCAGTCCCTTAATGACATGAAAGATGGTTACCTGATTCATACGGCAGAGTATGCCCAGAACAATGGCTTGGAGTCAGAGCCAGCTTTCTCTTGGTGGGTCCCTTACACCCTCAAGAAGCGGAATCGGATTATCTCTGCTGTTGCGAAGCGTTACTTTCGCAAGGAACAGAAATATGGGGTTGAGCTTCCCAAAACGGTGGAGCATGCCCTTGAGATTGACAAGGAGACTGGTACAACCTTTTGGCATGATGCCATTAAGAAAGAGATGGCAGCCGTCGGCAAAGCTTTTGAAATCTTGGAAGAGGATGCCCCTGACCCAGTCGGACACACTCACATCCGTTGTCACATGGTCTTTGATGTTAAAAGCGACTTTACAAGGAAGGCACGTCTGGTTGCTGGGGGGCATATGACCGATCCACCTTCGTCCATCACCTACGCCAGCGTTGTCAGTCGAGAGAGTGTACGACTGGCCTTCTTGATTGCAGCCTGAACGATCTGGACATATTGCCGCTGATATTGGCAACGCATATTTGAATGCCCCAGTTCGAGAGAAGATCTTTATCACATGCGGTAAGGAATTTGGCCCATTTGAGGGACGCAAAGCAAAGGTCGTCAAGGCCCTGTATGGCCTCAAATCAAGTGGAGCAGCATGGAGGGCCCACTTAGCTGATGTTCTGCGAGACAACCTGGGTTCACCTCTTGTAAGGCAGACAATGATGTCTGGTTTCGTGCCGCCACCAGGCCTGATGGAAGGGAATACTATGAGTATATCTTGGTATACACAGACGATCTCCTTTGCCTGTCAACTACCCAAATACCTTACTCTGCTACCTGGTTCAGCATTTCCTGCTGAACCAGGATCCCTGGGAAAGCCAACTCAGTATCTTGGAGCTTCAGTCAAGGAGTACAATGTCCCTGGCGTTGACAAACCATTTTGGTCAATGGGATCTGAACAGTATGTCAAGGAGGCTGTCAAAATGTGGAGACATGGCTCGAGCAACGTGGGAAGACGCTCAAGTCAAAAGCAACTTCGTGTTACCGAGCAATTACACCCCGGATTGGATGTTTCAAACCTTTGTGATGACGAGTGGACAAATTACTTTCAACAGCAGATTGGAGTGCTACGATGGGCCGTGGAACTCGGAAGAATTGACATCTGCACCGAGGTTTCAATCATGGCTTCATACTGTGCAGCCCCACGAGTTGGCACCTGGACGCTGTGTTTCATATCTTGGCATATCTCAAGCAGCACAGTCGTTCTCACCTTGTTTTTGATCCTTCCTATGTGAATCATGTGGAACCAGAGCGACCTGACTGGAGTGATTTCTATGCCGATGCGAAAGAGCTTTTACCTCCAGACATGCCGAAGCCTCTCGGCAAACCAATCCAAATCACCATGTTTGTGGATTCTGACCATGCTGGGGACAAGGTGACACGTCGTTCGCGTACTGGTGTACTCGTCTTTGCTAACATGTCTCCAATTATTTGGTACAGCAAGAAGCAGGGCTCCATTGAAACTTCCTCCTTTGGATCTGAGTTCGCGGCGATGAAAGTTGGAATCGAGATTGTGGAGGGCTTGCGGTACAAGCTCAGTGATGGGAGTTCCCCTTGATGCCCGGCTCACGTCAAGGCGGACAACATGTCCGTGATCAAGAACTCGAGCATCCCGGAGTCTACTGTGAAGAAAAAGAGCAACTCGGTCGCATACCACTATGTCCGTGAAAGGGTCGCTGCAGGAATGGCAAACATCACTTATGAGAATACAGAGAGCAATTTGGCCGATATGTTGACGAAGATCCAGAACGGGCCTGTGAGCAGCGACTGGTTTCGAAAGTCCTCTACTAACAATCTGCAAAAAGGCAACATGACCATAGGGTGGGCCGTTTGGTGAACGGCAGGTCTGAGCCTCCAAGGGGCCATGCCCCAAGGGTACATCCTGTTTCAGACTTCCGAAGTCTGTTTTCCCATGTCAAGTGCAATCTAGCGTGAGATAGATCCCCCTCTAGCTTGAGGGGACCGAAAATGACCTGTGGTAGCGATTTATGACTATCCAGTTACCAGATTACTAAAATCAACCACAACAACCAAGTAGTAACACACTCAACACTATAGCAACCTCTTTATCAACACCACCATCAGCCTTTTTCGAACAAACGTGGGATCCACGGCAGATGCATGCATGATGGTGCGGAAAGTGGGTGAGGCTCCAAGGAGATCACAGCCAAGGAGATCACAGCCAAGGAGATCACAGCCAGCTGAGTTAGTAAAGGGAAGCTGTAATTTGAGATTTGAGGAAAAGGGAACAGGTTTGATGCCAATTAGACAGTTTTCCTTTTAGCCAGTAATGTAGCAGCTGCTGTAGCTGTACCAGTACAGTCCCAGGAGCAAAGGAAGAGGGAACGGGTTTGATGCCAATTTGACATTTTTATATGCACACCACCACAGATAAAACACCGTCATCGCGTCATCACTTGTCTCTTGTGGCTTCGTCCCTTCCACTACAATCCAAGAGGAATTGTTGCAATTGAAGCAAGGAATTACTGATCACAACAGACACAGTGCAGTGCCCTGTAATTGCCAGACCTGGTAGGCCTTATAGGAATCCCAACTAGAGTACAAAATGGGCGACTGCAGCAGTAAAGTTGTAGGATGTGAGAAAATTGCTCTGAGACCACACTGCAGTCAGACTTTCTCCACGATAAGGCCCAAACAACCAAGTACTGTGGCTGGGTGGTATGGATAGTGTCGATGCCAACTAGGATACCAACGGTTCAAACACTGCAATAAAAGTGGTTGGAGAAGAGAGTTTGGTGTACATTGTATGTGGGCAAGTATGGCACAGTTGTTGGAATCCACGAGCAATCACTACTGCATCGGCTACAGCCAGTCAGCAGCCATTACCATTGCGATTTATCCGTCGACAAGCATTATCTATTGGCAACAACCAATTGTGCAACACACAGCCAGGCAAGGAACCAGGAACGATGTCACTTTTGATGTAGGATGTGAGACAATTACAACAATGCCATCCAACACACTGCACTTCTTTGCAGTAGTAGTTCCAACTAGAACTGCAACTTCCATTTTTATGGTAGCTTTCAGATAGAATGAACTATTAGAAGTATATCCCTCTGCCTCTGTGCAGTGTTGGCAAGAATGGACATTCCAAACTCCTGAATTTTTCCTACTATTACTGGCAAAAAGCTTGACTGTTGTCTTCAAGAGCTCCACTACGGCTTTGCCCGGGCTGGTGATAGTGTTGGATTTAAAAGAGCCTCGTCCATAGCAATTGAAAGCTGGTCCTCCGTAAATAGAAATTTGTCGTCGACACCAGCCTCTTGTTATCCATAGCATTAGCTCGAAACGTTCGTTCATCGGCCATCGGCTGTACAGCAGAGAAAACAAGAAATAAATATGGGTTTTGCTTTCTGTGCTGAACTGAAGAAGACAAATTCCATCAACTTGACTGTCATCGGCCGAGAACTGACTGCCGTCCCATGGTCCATAGGATTCAATGATGAGGGATGGCTTTCCATTCTGCACCGGAGACGGTCGGCTTGAGTGAGGCTTGATAGGGGAGACAATAGTGGTGCAACCGATTCACTCCTCCACTCGTTCAGCCAGCCAATGCCGCCGGTCTAGCTAGAGTAGAGAGGGATTCAACGGTTCGTTCAAGAGGATTGGATTCAAGGCTTCGCTCCATATCATAGTAGCCATTATCCAGCCACTCGCACTATCTAATCTCCACGTTCAAAAAGACATTGACAATGAGGATAGTCAACAAATAATGAAGACCACATCAACAATGAGGATGGAGCAATCGAAGAACCGGTACGGCAACAACTGGAGCAAAATGGAGCTACCACTGGACGTCCAGTACCATTGTGGTTGTGATGGATTGCTGTGCTTTATGCTATTCCTTTACACGGCTGTGCAAGTGGTGTGCCAAGTGATCCATAAATCTTGGGAGGAGTGAGCCATGCTGTTTGCCGGTTAACATGGGCCACTAGAACCTGAGCCAGCCTCTTGACAGCCGCAGCAGGAATCAAAGCAACAACAACAGGCAACAAGGAAATTTCGAACGGCAACAACAACAGGAGCAACAGGAGCAATCAGCCAGCAACAAGGCAACGGCGATGTTGCTGAGTTTTATGCATTTTGGGTGAAGTATCTCTTGGGCAAGTGAAGGAATGATTCAATCTTATGATGTCGGCACCAGTTGGGCTTCTGTCTTGTGGTTCGCGTCTGTCTCCTCAGTGGTGCTTCGTGTTGGGTGGGGAGAGCGCGTTGGTACCCCAATTTTGCACAGTTGTTGAACACAGCAGCAATGCAGCAACAAGCTCCTGTTCCCCCTCTCAGATTACCGGGTGTAGATCGCCCCATCTCATTTTCTCTCCATAGCTTTTTCACAGCTGCCGGTTCTGTCTTTGTCAGATCTACCTCGTTCAGCGTACACAACAATAGGTGTGTGCTTTACCATGACTGTGCCAACCTGCTCAAAAGCCTCCGTATACCTGATTGAAAAATTGGTCCTGCCACTGATATTTTCATAGTAAAGCCCTGCCAAAAAATGTTTTAACTAGCCCCCTTTGAAACCCCCATCATTAAGTCGCGAGGAAACCTCACGGATTGGGCTGTCGTTAGCAGATTCGATTCGGGTTCCTTTGAGCTGTCCTCGTCTGCAAAGACTAGAGATTCATTGAGTTGAGTTGCATGGTACCATTGCTTTATCGCTCTACTGGATTAGAAACTTCTCTAGCTAACTAGTTTGTTGTCATCCTTGTCACTTTGAAATTGTTGTCGATACGGAGTATGTATTTGTTTCCCATACCATTTTCACCTTCAGAGGGTTCACAAGTGTTGGGTGATCTCGATGCTTGCATGTTCATTCCAATGGTCAATGTATGGCTTGTGGCAGCTGTGTCAGAACTGGCACTGAAAGTCTTGCTGAAGGAATTCCATGTTTTCAGGGCGTAGTTTGAATTCCAAGCAACATTGCTTAAATAAATGGGAATGCTTCCAACAGTGGTGTCACCAGCACCATCCCAAAACAACAAGACTTTCGCCAGTGTGCCAAAATCGTCTGTCATGGCTTGATCTAAATTGAAGCTGCGTGTACATGTAGTATGGGTAGATGCATGTAATTGTACCGGTATGGGTGACTTGGTCTCACCAAGCCCAGCTCGCTAGTGATAAACTACACAGGAGCCTCGATCCCCAGCCCAGCAGAACGATTCGATTCGCTTCCAGCCACCAGGATCTCCTCGCTATTGCTCATTCATGGCGTTGGTGCGTTTGTGCATCCTCCGTCGTTTTAATAGCTTTTTAATTAAAAGTCTTCGTCTAAAGATTAGATCTTCTCTTCAGCCTCTTTTGGGTGGGGTTGTCAGTCTCATACTCTGACCCTCCCAAGGACGCTCCCATAGTAACTTTTTTCTAGCTAACAGGTAGTGCCTCTAGAGGAGAGGATCCTCAGGGTCATGGGGAAAGTAACTCTGAGGTGCTTGTTCGGGCAGGTTTTGGTTCACTTTGTTTGAAAGAAGCAAGTTGTCCTCGTCAGAGATGACCATCAGGTATTGAGTCGTTTCGTACCGGTATCATTTATCTAATGTATTAAGTTATTAAAACGGGCTAGCTAGTTACTTGTCTTGGTTGTCACTTCGACATTGTCGATGCGGAGTACGTATTTGTTTCCCTGACCATTGTCGCTTTCATGGGGTTCACAAGTTAACCTCATTGCTTGCATGTCCATTCCAATGGTCAATGTGTGGCTTGTGGCGGCCGTGTCAGAAGTTGAACTGAAAGTTTTGCTGAAGGAATTCCATGTTTTCAGTGGGTAGTCGGAAGCCATAGCTATGCTGCTCACATATCGGGGATTGCTTCCCAAAGCAGTGTCACCAGCACCATCCCAAAACAAAAAGATTTCTGCCTGAGTGCCGACATCGCCCGTCATATCGATATCTTTCATAAAGAAGTCAAAGGAAACAGTGCCCTCATCCACTGCGCTCTTAAAGTTCAGAGTCTTTTCAAACCCTGCCTCTGTGATGATCCAACAATCGTCGCCATACACGTAAAACAACTCGGGATTCTCCATTTCAATCATCATGCCTCCACTTTTGGCTCCATTTTCCCATCTGCCATACTTGTTGGTATTCACCTCCATGGATACGCCGTGGTAACCCGTGTTTCCTTGAAAACATTCAGAACAGGATGAAAAGCCAGGATCGTTGAAATCATAGTTGGCAATTTCTCCTTGACCAGCAATGATGCATATTCACAATGAACGTCTCCACAGCGAGATCCTGTTGGATCGAACTGTCTTTGGGGTCAAGGCTTCTGAGCAGTCACGTCGCTTTCTTCATCCCAGTCACAGTTTGAGAAGCGGGAAATCGCTATGATAGTTTCCAGTACATCGAATTTTTTAACTTGTACCAGGTACCGAGCGTCCTTTGGAGGAAGAAAGGGCCCGAAATGGCGATTTACACCAAATTCCGATTTATACTTGTGTTTCGATTTTATATTTAGGTTTCGGTTTTATATTTTGGTTTCGATCTTATATTTTGGTTTCGGCTTGATTTTACTAGTTAATTACCATAGTAATTTGCTTTCGATTTTATATTTAGGTTTCGGTTTTATATTTGGGTTTCGGTTTTATATTTAGGTTTCGAATTGATCAATTTGGTTAGATTCATAAAATCGTGATTTCCGGCCCTTTCGAAGGGATCTCCCGCTTAAATTGCGGATCTTTTGCTTGTCACTGGGATGGGGTTGGTTGCGTAGATTCTCCAGAGGAGGCGTACCTCACCGGTACAGTAATGGCAAGAGATTACACAGAAGGCACAGATGCAATGAACATTGAAGAAACTAGTTTATATGTTATACATGTAGCAACAATGGGAGACACTCACAAAAGGGACAGCTCTCGCGCACTGAAAAGTCCGCTGCGATGACTCTTCATTCCGATAATTAACCGTGGACTCCCAGAAAGCATCCCCTCAGATCGTCAAAACGAAGCTGAGCTTCATCCTTGTCGGCGGATCCATATGGATCCCTTTCCTTGTCTTCCTCCGTGAAATGGCCCTCGTAGCCGCTGTACACAACAGTCACACCTCCATCGAGTAGCAAGGCAGATCGCAAGGCTGGACGCAACCTAGATCTGCCATGTTCTGGCAGATGGGCTGTGATGCTTTCTTCGCAGCAGTCTTCCGAACTCAACTCCTCAGGACAGCAACAAGTTCTCTATTTTGGGCAGCCATGATACATCTTCACCGGGACGAACAAAGACTGTGGGTCCACTAAGTAGATACTTGCAAAAGGGAAATATGATGCCCCATCGTCGTCAATTTTGGACCAATCCATGTCGAACGACCCACTGGAAGTAGAATCGTTGTCGCTGTCGTCTTCGTTGCTCTGCTCCCAGTAATAGCAAGACCTCTGCCGCTTGGTTGGTTTGGGAAGCAGACCGCTTTGACGCATATCCCTCTTTGCTTTCTTCCACCATTTTGATCTTTTGTTATCACACAGACTATCGAAACCGGGAAGCTGGAATGTCAAACACTTTGGTCAGCATTCAGTTTGCTAACACCAAGGAATGTTCTCGTTCCGTATTGCCCTTTGTATCGAAATAGAATTACAAAGATGGCCGCTTCCAGATCCTTGTTTTTCATACGCGACAAGAGCTGATTCTTTTCCTTTGCAGAGAGGCAGAGGCAGCTTCAGCAGAATGATTTCCAATCGAAACAATCAACAGCTGTAAAGCTCGAAAGTACCCAAAACTCGGATCTAACACAGCTTCGAGGCTGGTGTTGGGGAACAACCAATGGACAATGGGTTTCCAAAGCAGCGTCTGCAACTCGCAAGATGATCGTTGGTGAGAGTGTCCCTCCAGTGAGTGCATGTGCCCACCATCGCCACGACGTCCATGACTTGCCGCTTCATATCCTGCATCTTTTTGGTACGACCGTTGGCCTTCTCCCACCTCCTCCTGCGGCGATCACCCTCTCTTTCGCTTCTTAGGATTGATTCCTCTTGCCGTTCATGTTGATCTTGCAGGTAATCGTCCCAGACTAATCCATCCTCGGCAAAACTCTCTCCATACGCGCCCACATACTCGTCGTCGATATCGTCTTCTTCTTCATTACTATTTTCGCTGTAGTCCGACTGAACGGTTGCATCCGAGTCCTCAGGATCTCCAAGCGGTTCCTCCCGATCGAATCCTGAAGGAGCGCCAATACGGAAGGACGCAATGCAGGAGAACTCCTCCTCGGCACTGAGCTTTTGGTAAGCCTTCAATGGTGCCGCCATGGTCTTTTCTCACTCAAACAGTGGAGGAGGACGTGTGTGGTGTTTTGGCGATTCGATTTGGGCAGCAGTTTGTGATCGAAGACATGACATTGTCGAGGAAAACAATGGAGAAACCAGCAAAGAGCTAAAATATTGTCGGAAGCAAGTTTTGACAACGATACCAGCAATAAGGCTCAGGTTCTAAAAGGGCACCTCTACCAAGTACTAGTACCTGGTGAACTCGAGGTGCATCCGATGTAGTTCGCGCCAAAATCGAAGTTCCAATCAACAGTCGAGAACCTTAAACTGTGGTTACTAGTAGTTTGCCTGGCAGAAAACATCTAATAAGTAATAGACGATGCCTCCTCTCCGACCTTTCATCAAAGTCCAATTCGGTGCCCTATTGAACCGACAAATGAGTTGGTTATATACACGTGTAACCAACGACCCTACCGCATACCTCACTCAGAAGCTCTCTCACGAATCGAATCTAAATACTTCCAACATCCAAGAAGAAACGCTAACAATTTAAGTTTTCAAACGCCCAGGACACCAAAAGGACCACGATGGGATCATCCCAAGGATCGAAAGGGTCACTAGCTGAAATCTCCGTTGACTTCTATGCTTCAGCTTCTAAATCATGTCAGGCCAAGCACAACAGTGCTGCCTTTTTAATTCAACTGCATCTGGATGAATTCCAAGACCGACTCGGCTTAACCAGATTCAACTTTGCTGACATAAGTAAAACCGGAGGGTGTGGTATAGCCAACGATGTTAAAGCCATTGACGATAACGAAGTAATGAAGTGGTGGTTCGTCTTCTGGGAAGGCCAACCAGCCTTTTGGTTCAGCAAAAAGCCCACGGGAGGTCCCTACGCCGTATGCACTCTGGAACGTTATATGCCCGGCCGCCATCAAAAATCAATTGAAAAAAAGCTCATGTTATCCCACTGCCTTACAGTCATTGAAGGCCATAGTGAAGGAATGCAAGAATGCATCACCTTCTTTACTACCTAAGAACAAAGTGTAATCCAGAGCGGACATTACATTCATCTTACAACACTCTCTTTGGTTCAATCTGGACAACTACATCGACTTCTATGTCGAAGTCTGGGTAGCGGGAGAAAACCGATTCCACGAAACAGGGGAATGGTTCCTACTGCAGTAAAGTCTCCGCTATGCACTGTTTGGCGGTAATGGGTATCGACAGCATAACTGGGCCTAGGATGTTGCGCACCTGTGAAGGTCGTTTCCGTGCCGCAAAACCCACGAATCCTTTTGCACTTTGACGTGGCCGTCATGGTCGGGGAGTTTCGAATAAATTAGGTATTCAACATGGTGGTGAATTGGTGGGGATAGAGCTCCTACAAAGGAGGCATTGATGTAGAAACACCAGCACTTGGCCCAAATCCATCTATTGTGCACTGTAGTCTGGTCTCGACAGTATCTGTCCTCTAGCTAGCTAGTCATATTCGACTGGTAACACCCCCACACCCATCGGAAACACACCAACCCCCTCCAGGTAACAGTGATCAGATCTCGAGTAACTGACACCCAACTGCCGCCAGCTCCCTGGCAGAAACCTGGAATGCTGGGGATTCCCTGTACGATCCTACACTCCCGGTACTGGCAGAAAGTGCATAAGTAAGGACATAAATTTAGCCCTAGACAGCATTTTGAATCAGCCTAAGTACCCAAGTCACATAGGCAACAGGTTTCCTGCCAATAAACAGATCCATGAATTATGGCGCCCCACATCTTTCTCATGATGTACAGAAGTCGGAAGCTTCCTTCTAAGGGGGAAAAAGAGGGATGTTGCTTCCTTCTAAGAGATGACAGTAGATCTTTAGTTCTGTCTCTTTTCAGTACCCATGGCCACCATTATCAAAGGCAGCAATCGTCCTTTGGGTGATGAGCCCATACACACCCCAACAGTCTTGTTGGAAGCCGCAAAATTGTGTTGGGAGGAGTGTGTGTGTGCGTTTGGCCACACCAAGCCAAACATGTGGGTTGACATCGGAGATGGAATCTGTGGCTGGTGATGGTCCAGCAATATGTCTCACCAGCAACAAAATTGGGCCCATTGAGAGCATCACTGTTCCAATCGTAGCCAGGGGAGTTGACAGTTTTTGATTCCATTCTCTTCCACATTGGGGCAACATCGGTCCTTCCTGTGAAAGGTGCAACACTGTCGTAGCACTTCATAGCATCAAGCTTGCAAACTTGGAAATCATCCATCCATCCAACCCCAGTCAATGCGTCTAGCACAAATTTGAGGCAGTTATCTGTGTCTGGTTTCATACTTATCGTGTACTCTGTGCTATTAGATTGTGATACTTGTGATAGCTTTCCCTTGGGTCTGGTTCTGTTTCCGTTGACGAACATGTTTTGTGGAGGCCTCTTGTACAATCTCACCCTAACCCATACTGGACCTGCGGGTAAAATAGGTGGTTCGCCAATACCAATGCCAAGCTCACTCCTAGCTTCAGTTGCAAACTGTTTCATCTTTGCTTCTGGTGGGTTGTAAGTCCACCGCTTGATGAATGGGATTCCTTTGACTTTCCCACCTTTCTTTGTAAGTCCACACTGCATGGCATGGAACCTCGGGGATTGTTTTGGGATAATATCACCAGCCACAGTAAATTTGTAGCTGTCCACACCCTGTTGACTCTGGTACTCTCCTTTTCCTTCCTCTCCATCCGAGAGAATCTCTATAAGGTTGTTGACATCTACCATGTTGGCATCATCTGTATCTGCTGCTTGCGAGACTTCTGCAGGATCTAGATCTGCTGTGAAATGGCAGTGTTCTGGGATCTGCTGACACCACAACAGAAAAATGGGGGACATTGCTACATGTGTCGTGTTGTGTGTAAGTAGGTTGGTTTGGACCTTTGGCTAGTCCCGGCATCTCACTTTGTTAGACAGCTGGTAGATCCCAGGATCCGCTTGGAACTGTTTCTACCCACACTCATGCCCTTGGGTTTCTGTTTCCACCCTGTCCTCTAATCGCTGTGGTCTGTTTCCACCCACACCCTTGACCCATTCTCAAGGGTGTGGGTGGTAACAGAGCTTATTCACTGTGCCAATTTCAGTACCAGCCACAGTACCACAGCCCCTACTCCCACGCAGCTGAGTCATGTAAAGGGAACTGAATCAGGCTGAAAACAACGTGCCGACTCTATTTGGGCAACGGTGCCTGTTACCCACAGTTTCATACCTATTACCAGTACCCCCATAACTTTCCTAGCTACCAGTAGTAGTTAGAGCGCGGACAGCTGAGGCAGCGGCTGGGTCAAGCCAGACTCCAGAAAGCTTTATCACCGGTTTTGACAGAGTTATCACCGACTGGAGGTGCAGGCGTCCATCGGGCAAGCCCGGCGTGACTTCTAACAGCAGCAGCATTGGTGAGACACGCTGGCGAGAGAAACAACCTCTTTGCCACCATGAGCAGCGACAACAGCGGCAACACAGGAGAGGGCCAAGAGATGCAGCAGAACGGGGACATCGAAGCGCTGCGAGCGAAAGATGCAGCACTGCAGCAGCAGTTGGAGCAGAAGCAGCAGCAGTTGGAGCAGCAGTTGGAGACAAGCAGTTGGAGCAGCAGTTGGAGCCGAAGAATTGGTGGTGTATGGAGGCGCTGTTGTCTGTGCAAGAAGATGACTTCAAATTGACGAACATTGGCTATGGTAACCCAACTTCTCATACTGATACACAACACGAGGCGGCGGAATCGATACTCCTTGAAGACTTTGGTTTGGAAGAACTGACGAAGCAACTCTTGGAGAAAATGCCGCACTGGGAATCTAGTCTTCTCCGGAATTTGCTGACCCATTAGAGAGCTGGAATGCGTCCAAGAGGATGTATAAGGACGTATCATACGAAACCGAGGCGGAGATTAGCGCACTTGTCGTGTCTGGGGTGAAAGACTCAATCGCCATACATGCGATGGAAGGCGCAATCGCCATACGGGAGGCGAAAAAAGCTGAGAAGCTCAATGTAAGAATTGAACGGAGCCTCTTTGCGAGTCGGCCTGACATTATGGTTGTACGCGATGAAGATAAAAGGGCCCTTCTTGCTGTCGAAGTGAAGAACCGCTGAAGAACAACAAGAAGTTGTCATCTCACTCGACGACTTTAGGCCAAGCTTTCGACCACGCAATGGGGATTAATGCGTTCGGACCGGGCACTGCACTCGTGGTGATCACCACTTCGAAGAGTCCATCTTGTGCTCGTTGAAGAGAAGGATCTGGCTCCACCCGAATCGTCGACAATAAGCAAGAGGCCCAGATTGTCACCAGGCAGTGACAACCAATCAAAACCATCCACATTCTCCGGAATAACACCATCGCCACACAGTCCGGCTCCGCCCAAGTTCATGACGTCGGATCTGGAGCCTTCAAGCAGCAGCAGCTCTGAAACCTCACCTGCGTCGCCCACCACTTCTCAAACGGGTGCTGCGTCTGGCGAGCCGGAAGGTACCAGTCGATTTATCAAGAAGACGAAAGATCGAAAGCTATACCATTCCAAATCGTACAAAAGTATTCAACTGGTCCAGTTTACGAACTGAGGTCGATGTGAAGGATGACATGGTGGGGAGTTCGACGTAAAAGTATGAACTAAAAATAGAGGGGAATTACGCTACGAGGTAGATCTTCATTAGGGTTGAGGTTGATCTCGATGTGCAAACTCGATCACATCTCACACTCCCTCATCAACCGAGAACCATCTCGAAATAGTAGCGAACTGCATCTCGTCGTTTCGTTGTAACAATACTAGATGTAACATAGAATGGGGCCGGTTCCCCTTTTTGTTGTCGTAGTCACTTCGCGAGCTCATTGTTGGGTCCAATGCGATGACGAGCGCTGATATGCTCTTTGAGCTCTTCGACGTTGTCAGTACTGACTCCAGGGTAGAACTCCTGGATTGCCTTGATGTAGAGGTGTACGGCAATCGCGTCCACCGCGGGCGTGTGCCGGAAGTGGGCGAACTTGATGACACCACGCGAGAAGTGCTTCATAAGGGT